AAAAAAAAAAAAAAAAAAGAGTAATTTAGTCTGGAGAAGAAAATATAAAATCCAATTAAAAGTAACAGGGGAAGACAAAGATTTGTAGAGAATTCTCTGGCTGATGTGAACAGATTGTACAGAGCATTTATACATATACACACATTCTCTTTATATTTGTGTATGCGTGTTCACGCACACACTAGAAAGACCCTTGATAAAAAGGAGGGAGCACCAGGCGCCTTCGCTCACACCTGTAATCCTAGCTACTCAGGAAGCTGAGATCTGAGGATCACAGTTCAAAGCCAGCTGGGGCAGAAAACCAGAGGTGGTGCTGTGGCTGCAGTGGTAGAGCGCTTGCCTTGAGCTGAAGAGCTGAGAGACACAAGCCCATAGTTGAAGCCCCACAACCGACAAAAAAAAAAAAAAAAAGAGGGAGAACAGGTCTCAGAACAGAAAGAGCCTAGAGAAGCCATGGGAAAGTATTTATTTTCTTTCTCCTTCTAGGATTACAGGTGTGGGCCACCAGTGCCAGCAGTGAGTGTTATGTTTTGATGTTGAGCTCTGCTCACAGCCAGGAGTCAGGACATACATAGGTGTATACTCAATCAAGGACAATACTCTTAGACTATAAGTTTAAAACAGTACTATTCAAAGCTAGCTTTGGACTAGGATAAATACACATCACTGGTAGAGTGTTGGCCTAGCATAGGCGAGGCTCATGGTTCTGATGAACAGTTGTACTGCAAAAAAATAAAATAAATGCTAATTTTTAAAAAAAAATAGTGTCAGTCTCATTTTTTTTCTTGGTGGTATTTGGGTTTGAGCTCAAACTCAACCTCGAATTTCCTTGGCTTTCTTGCTCAAGGCTGGCACTCTACCACTACATCCCCGTCTCCAGCCCTCCTTTTTTGCTGATGATTTTGGAGATAAGAATAGCAAATTTTTCTGCCCAGGCTGGCCTCAAACTACATTATCTTCCAGATTTCAGCCTCCTGAAGTTAGAGTTACAGGTATGAACTACCAGCACCTGGCTTCAGCTTCAACTTTTTTTTTTTTTTTTGTCGGTCGTGGAGCTTGAACTCTGGGCCTGGGCACTGTCCCTCAGCTCTTCAGCTCAAGGCGAGCACTCTACCACTTGAGCTACAGCGCCACTTCCCAGCTTCAACTTTTAAGGACAAAGAAAAACACCTGCAATGATTTTATGTGTTTCTCAATACTTAATGGAAAGACATATCGCTACAACATGGGAGATTATGTTGACTCACCACATACTTAACTCCCTCCAGGAATCTCTGGTGGTATTGGGCATGTTGCAGTTCATCTTCAGGGTTGGCAGCAGAATAGATCATGCCACAAGACTTACACATAGTAGTCCCAAAATGTTTTTGACCTGCATCCTGCAATTGAAGAAGAAAAAGTCCATATAAATATTTCTACAAGGGCCTGGGAAGGTGGCTCAGTGGTAGAGCACTTGCCTTGCATGCATGAGGCCCTGGGTTCGATTCCTCAGCACCACATAAGCAAAAAGAAAAAAGCTGAAAGTGGCGCTGTGGATCTAGTGGTAGAGCGCTTGCCTTGAGCTGAAGAGCTGAGGGACAGCGTCCAGGCCCAGAGTTCAGGCCCTACGACCAGACCAAAAAAAATCTACAAGCTGGGCACCAGTAGCTCACACCTGTAATCCTAGCTACTCAGGAAGCTGAGATATGAGAATTGCAGTTCAAAGCCAGCCCACGCAGGAAAGTCCGAGAGACTCCTATCTCCAATAAACCTCAGAAAACCAGAAGTGGTGCTGTGGCTCAAGTTAGCCTTGAGATGATGAAGAAATGAGGGACAGGGCCCAGGCCCAAAGTTCAAGCCCCATGACCGATTAAAAAAAAAAAGCTCTATTATTCCTTCCTATACACACAGTCTAAGGAATAAGAATAAATCATAAAACTTAGTCAAATGGCTTGGGTGTTGTGTTCGTGGCTCACACCTGTAATCTTAACTCTCAGGAGGCTGAGATCTAATGATCCCAGGAAAGTCTGTGAGACTTTTATCTCCACTAAACAAAACAACAACAAAAAGTGAAAATGGAACAGTGGCTCAACTGGTAGATTGCTAGTCTTGAGCAAAAGAAGCTAAGGATAGTGTCTAGGCCCTAAGTTCAAGCCCCAGGGCCAGCATTAAAAAAATTTAAAAAAACACAACAAAACATTATTGTTAAGATGAACAGCAAAACTTACAAAGCTTTTAAGTGAAAGACCAAAAAAGTCTGTTTCAAAGAGAAAAAAGTAAAAACACAGGATTTCTATAGTAATTAATAGTATTTTTAAGTGGCTGGGAATGGCAAAACATTCTTAATTTTGCTCCAAGAATATAATTTTACACATAATTAATTGTACATGTAATTACATGATATGTGGTAACAATTCAGACAAGCACAGATAATTTACGAGTGTAGAGAAGTAGGAATAGCTGACTTTACCATTCCCCTTCTCTCATAAAGTTCTGGTCACTGCCACCAAAAAAAACCAAACACCTGGGTCTGCAATAATACTAGGGTTGACAAACTTTTCTGTGAAATGCTAAAAGCAAATATTTTAGGCTTTCCTAGGCCACATCTAATTTTTTAAAATATAATAACCATTTGTAGTTCACAGGCCATGGAGTCGAAATTGGCTTATGGCCAGTTTACTGAATCTAGGTTTAACTCAATATAGCTATTCCCATTAAAGGTTTCGCTGATCAGTAATTTTCTTATCTAGATATAACTCACCATCAGCACTGTAGTAAAATACTGGCACTGCCCAGCAGTGTCTTCAGTGCCACCACTGCAGCAAATGTGTCATTTACAAAACTCCAAATAGCTATTTCCCGGGTTAACAATGCTAAGATAAATGTCTGTCTTTATATTGTACACATGAAAGCCACATGCAAGAGGAACTCTATTCTGAATTTACTTACAATGATGAGCTGGTCTTTTGTTTCTTTATTTGTATCTCTCATGTTCATATTTTTCTGAGCCTGTTTCAAGAAGTTAGTACCACTCATGGATCCCAAAGAAATCTGTTCTTCAGCTGTAGATCTTGAAATCAAAAGTTGATAAATAGTACGTAACAGAGAAACCTGAAGTGCATTCAGAGAGGGGCAGTAATTTGCACAAGGGAACCCAGTGTTAAGACTAGACTCCTGGTATTCTGACTTCAAGTCGAAGGAACTTTCCTCTATGGAATCAACTGGGCATACATAGAATCACTTTGCAAGTTGACTTCATTCCCCAAAAGAACTTTCTTTTTTGCCATAACAAAGACTAAGACAATACTTATCTATATTAAATACAAAGCAATTACCAGGTAACCCACAGCAAATAAGTAGATACCGAATCTCACAGACAACCAGACACCGTATCAGGATCCAACAACTTTTCTTTAAGGCAATGAGTATATAAGTTTATTTTTTCCCCTTACAATGAAAGCAGAATCCCAGCATTAAAATTTTTAAGAGTATTGATCAGCGTAGGCAAAATTAACAAGATCCTATTTCAAAATACAAATAAAAGCCAGGCACTGGTGGCTCATGCCTGTAATCCTAGCTACTCAGGAGGATGAGACTTGGGAGGATGATCTTCCTGGAACAAAAAGTTTGAAGCCAGCCTAGACAGAAAAGTCTGGAAGAAACTTTTTTAAGTCTGCAAGGCTCTATCTTCAATTAGCCAGCAAAACAGGACAAGAGGTATAGCTTAAATGGTTCAGTATCAGCTATGAGCAAGAAAGCCCAGAAAGAGCACAAGGTCCTGAAATTCAAGCTCAAGTATCAGCACCAAAAAACAAACCAACAAAAGCAGTGTGGTTCAACTGGCAGAACACTTGCACAAAGCCATGGGTTCAATCCCAAGTACCATGATGATGCACCTGGAGAATCTTAACCTACTTGAAACAGTATTATACTACAGTAATATACTATTAATACAAGTAACTGTTGATTTCTGACATTTTGGGTCCTGCAAAGCCTAATTTCACAACCAAGTCAGTGGCTCACACCATTTTTTTATTTTGGGAGGGGTCTGGTCCTGGGGCCTGAACTCTGGGCCTGGGCGCTGTCCCTCAGCTCTTCAGCTCAAGGCTAGCACTCTACCACTTGAGCCACAGCACAACTTCTGGCTTTTTTCTTTTTGCTTATGTGGTGCTGAGGAATCAAACCCAGGGCCTCATGCATACAAGGCAAGTACTCTACCACTGAGCCACCTTCCCAGCCCACCATTTTTTTTTTTGGCAGTCCTGGAGCTTGAACTCAGGGCCTTGGCACTGTCCCTGAGCCTCTCTGTGCTCAAGGTTAGCACTCTATCACCTGAGCCACAGCGTCACTTCTGGCTTTTTCTGTTTATGTGGTACTGAGGAAGTGAACCCAGGGCTTCATGCATGCTAGGCAAGCACTCTACCACTAAGCCACATTCCAAGCCCCAGTGGCTCACACTTGTAATCTCATAATAAACATAGCTCCTCAGAAGGCTGAGATATGAGGATCATAGTTTGGAGCCAGCCCAGGCAGGAAAGTCTGTGAGATTCTTACCTCCAACTAAACACCAAAAAGCTGGAAGTGGAGGTGTGGCTCAAGTGGCAGAATGCCAGCTTTGAGCAAAAAGACAAGGGAGAGGTTGAGGCTCCGAGTTTAAGCTCTAGTCAGTACACATGCAAAATAAGAATAATTATCTTCTAGGTTGTTGTGGAGATTAATATCATAGATACAAACTAATTGTTAGCAGCCAAGTATTATATGCTATCTTTCAAGACCATGAGGATCTTTACCATCTCTCAACTCTACAAAGTCTTATAAAGTTTCTATGAAAATAACTAATTTTATATCCTACTGTCAATATTATTCTTGTATTTCCCGTAGTGGGAAGTAAATGTTCTCCAACTTAAATAGCATTAGAAGGAGACGGCTATGTAATTAACTTCAATATTAAAGCAAGAGCTGGGTGCCAGTGGCTCATGCCTGTAATCGTAGTGATTCAGAAGGCCGAGAACTGAGGATTGTGGTTCAAACCCAGAGAACTGAGGATTGTGGTTCAAATTCAGCCTCTGCAGGAAAGCCATGAGACTCTTTATCTTCCATTAACTATCAGAAAACCAGGCATAGCACTGTGGCTCAAAGTGGTAGAGTGCTCGCCTTGAGGGAAAAAGCTCAGGGAAGAGCACTGAGTTCAAGCCCCACAACCAACAAGGAAAAAAAAGCAAGAACAATTCCTACCTTTTTGCATTGACTGAAGACACATTGAAGATGGGGTAGACAGTGGACTCAGGAGAAACTAGTAAGGAAAAAGAAACACAGCAGTAATTTTTATTACCAAATAAAATCAAAGTCTTAAATTGTAAGACTTTGAAGGTTATTACAACCAAACCAGTCACAACTTGATTTGAGACATAATCAAGATACTGTGTTCCACGGCAGAGAAGAGCCAAAAAGGTCAATGGGAGAAAATAGCTAGAAATAATCCATATCGATTCAACTGATTTGAGCAAAGGGGCAATAGAAAAAAAAGACTTCAACATATGGTGCTGGACAGTCTGCACATCCCCAGGCAAAAAAGTGTACATACTCACATACTACACAAAAACGAACTCCAAATAAATATCTGATCAAAATGTAAGCCGTTAAAGTGTAGAATAAAGTCTGTGTGGTGCAGGACAAGCCAGAGATATCAATGAATGCATGCTCATGTAAGCAGATGAAGATACACAGAAACAATTATAGATGTGTACATATACATATATTTGGTTGATAAAATGCTAATTAATTCCTGTAAATACTTGTAATTTGCTAAGGATTGGGTAATTAAACAATTATCTGTAAGTTAATAGGATTTCAGACCCAAGAGGAACTTAAAAATTAAGGCTGGTGATTCATGCCTATAATCCTAGCTACTCAGGAGGCTAAGATCTGAAAGATCAAGGCTCAAAATCAGCCCAGGCAAGAAAGTCTATCAGACTGTTACTGCCAATTAATCACCCTCCCTTCCAGAAAGCTGGTCTTGGGGGAAAGAAAAAGATCAGGGTAGGGCGGGGGAGAGGATGGGATGGGAAGGGGAAACAAAGGAGGAGGCTACAATGCTTGATAAGAAATGTATTCATTATCTTGCCCATGTAATTGTAACCCCTCTGTACAGTATTTTCACAATTTAAAAAAAGATCAGGACCAGCACCTAAGCCCTGAGCTCAAACCCCAGTACTGGCATAATAAAAAACATTAATATTATTTGTCATTTTAGAAGTTTCTAAGGATGGATTTCAGTCATTTCAGTAGCTTAAAAATTCTGTTCAAAACTGGGCTTTGCACTGTTCACAATAGCTAGGATATGGAAACAACCCAGATGCCCCACCACACATGAATGGATCCAAAAATTGTGGTATCTATACACAATGGAATATTATGCAGCCATTAGAAATGACAAAATAATGGCATTTGCAGGGAAATGGATGGAGCT